GCGGAGGAGGGTGCGGCGGCGCCAGATCTTGCGAGAGCACACACACACCTTCGACGCCTCTCCTTGCCCGCCCCTGGCCCGCGCCTGCCGCCACAATTCGAAGGCCGCAATCAGCACAAAGTGGTCCGACTGCTGCCCCGCCGCAAACGCCGCCGGGTCCCAGCCGCCAGGTGCAGCCGCCGCCGCGGCCGCTACCGCGGGGCGCGCGCCGCCGCGGCCGGCTTTGCCGCCCTTGCTCCTGGGGCCCGCCGCCGCGGCGCCGCCGGGGCCGGCCGCGGCGGGCGGGGGGGCTGCGAGGGCGCGCTTGGCGCGCTCCATATCGTCTTGGCGCTCGAGTGGGGCGGAGAACGGCGTCTTGTAGCTGAGGGCCGCAGCTATGGTCTGGGGGTATTGGGTGGTGTTGGAGTTGGCGGTAGTTGGTAGTGGTTGGCGGGGATGGGATGAGAGGGCGGCCGGTGGGGTCAGGGCCGAGCCTGCTGGCAGGCGCAAGGGGGCTGGGCGATGGGAGCAAGGAAGACCGCCGGGCGCGCGGCCGCGTCAGGATGAAAGCCTGCTTTCTCACGCGAGCGGAGGCGCCAGCGCGCGGCGCGCGCCGCTGGCGCGCAGCTGCTTGCGGGCCGAGGAAGGCCGCAGCGACTAGGGAAACGGGCGCCTCCCCCGAGACCCGCTCAAATCACACCCAGCCGCGACACCCCTCAAAAGTCGAGGGGTGAGGTGCGGCGGAGTCTGTACGAAACCGAACCAGGCGCGAGGCGGCGGCGGCGGCGGCGGCGCCTCACCAGCGCGGGCGCGAGGCAGCCGAGGCAGGCCCCCATCACGAGAAGCTTCCCCAGCCGCGGCTCCAGCGGCAGCAGCGCCAGGTGGCGCCCCAGCGGCGTCAGCGCCTCCCCCTCCCCCTCGCGCCCCTGATCCGCCGCCGCCGGCGCAGGCGCGTCGGCGGCGGTCGCGCCGACGACGACGGTCGGCTGTAGGCCGAACGGCTGCTGCTGCTGCTGCTGCTGCTGCTGCTGCTGCTGCTGGTCTGATCGCGCGTCCAAGGTTATGGCGCCGACCTCGGCCAGCGCCTCGAGGGAGGCGCGGACGGCCTTGGGGGGCGGGGGCTCGATAACCTCGGACAGGAACGAGGCGGCGGGTCCGAGGGACATTAGATGGATCTGGGGTTGGGGGGGAGTGCGGGCGCCAGGGTTGTAAGGCGGCGGTCGTGGGGGCAAAATCCCGGGTGCTTTCAGGGTGTGGTGCGAGGG